GAAGCGTGTACGACTGCTCAATGCCCTCCTGCTGACAGAAGGCCTCCAATAGGCCAGAGGAAAACTCCCCACCTCTGTCAGAGTGCAGACGCAAGACAGGGAAGTCGGAGCGGAAACGCTCACGGAGCTGGAGACGAGATCTGCGGATCCAAGGGATCAAGACATCAGGGACGTCACCCTTGGCGCGCAAGGGGAAGACCGTGGTGTAGCGCGAGAAGTCGTCAACAACAATCAGGAAGTACCTCTCCTGGCCCTGACCACGGACGCGGGCTGGGCCCCACACGTCCATGTGGAGCGTCTGCAAGGGAGCAGTCGTCGGGGGAAAGGAGGAGGAGTGAGGAGCGGCGCGCTGCCGTCCCTCGACACAGGGAATACAGGGAGGAGCAGGCGAGTCGGGAAGGGGAGGGAGCACCCTGGGAAGACCAGCAACAAGGTCCCGTTTGTGCATGGCCCGAAGGCGCTGCACAGACGGGTGACCAAGGCGGTGGTGCCAAAGGACAGTCTCATGCGCCAGAGAGCGACACGAGCAGGGGGCGGACAGCTGACCTGACGCAGACGCAGACGCGGACGCAGCTACCTGAGGGGACTCAGTGGTCAGTGTGTACAGGTCCGACCCCGGCTCCCGAGTGAAGGTAGCCAGGTGGCGACCCGTCCGAGCACACGTGCAGTGTGTCACGCGCTCGTAGGCAGGGGTGAACTGGTGAACACCCCCGTCCTGGAGCGCACTACCTGCCACCAAGTTCGTAGAGAACGAGGGGAGGTAGAGACCTGACAGCGTGCCGGACGGGACCGCCGGACAAGGAAGGACAGTGGAGGAGGTCGCAATGACCGGACCCCTAGAGGGGTCAGCAAGGGAGACAGCAACTGGCCGAGCGAGTGGCTCAAGGACAGTGCGGTCACGAAAGAAGGAGCGAGAAGCACCTGAGTCCAGTGTGAAGGTGTGCAGTGCTGCAGTCGACTCAGTACCAGGGGGCACGGACGCACGAGCACCTGGGGCTGCAGCCTCACCAGGACCTGTGGGAGCAGACGCACTAGCACCTAGAGCGGCAGCCGGACTGGCCTGAATGCCCGGGTCGGGCGGAACACGCAAGTACTGAGCACCTTCTCCACTAATAGACATCGCATACATGGCAGTGAGAATAGCATCAAAGTCTAAAGCCCAAATATCAACACCCCTCTTTTCCAGATCAGCCCAGCGCGGCAGCTCAGTGGCAGCAGGAAACTGAGTGCGCCACGCGTCGGTAAGGCGCGCGAAGCAGCGCTGCGTGGGGTGCGGCCTCCCACACTGCTGGCCGCTGCGGTCACCTGTGCGAATGACGTACGTGCAGGTAACGCTACGCTGCGCATACCACTCACGGGCGGCCTGAAGCGTCGGGGCGGGCTGCTGACTCTGCCCTCCGCCAGTGCCTCCACGACCACCACCCCCACCGCCGCCGCCCCGGCCACCTCCACCCCTGCCGCCGCCACGACCACCTCCGCCTCCGCTGCCGCCTCCACCACCACTCCCACCGCTGCTGTCTCCTCCCCCACTGCCGCCACTAGTCTCCCCAGCCGCGCCTCCACTCCCACCGCCTCCACCCCCACCTCCTCCGCCGCCACCCCCACCCCTGCCCCCCTTGTTCCTGCGGCGCCCGCTCGAAGCAGACGCGGTCCCGACCTTCTCAGCACCAAGAAGGTCGACAGCAGCAGCAGAGGCGACAGAGGGGAGGAGGGGGGAAGGGGAACACCCCTCAAAGAACGGGGTGCGGGGGTCGCCACGAGAGGTGCCTACAGCGACGATGCTCGCCTCAGCTGCAAGCAGTTCCTTCTCGAGGAGGGCAACAGTGAGCTCAGTGGGGGAGCGAGAGAGGAAGTGGTCCCTGACTGCGCGCAGAGAGTCAGGGAGGCGGGTGACGATGTGGTAGAGAGTGATCCAGAGCGGGGGGGGGGTTGCTAGTGAGAAACTCGGCAGGCATAGCAGCGCGAAAGCGGGCCTCACTAGTCTTAAGGTGGGTGATGAGGTCTGCGACAGTGTGAAAGGAGGCTAGGTCGGGGAACAGGTAGGGGAGAGTGAGGCGGCCTAGCGTGGCAGAAGCAGGTGAGGAGTAGCGGGCAACTACAGCTGTGTAGAGGTCCTTAGCAGTCTTGCACTGGCCGAAGTGCTCGCGCTCGTCTAGCGGCAGGGAGTTGCGAATAGCAAAGCGAGCGTGCGCATCACGGGTCTGCCACTGGGAACGCAGAGTGCTGTCAGCAGACGAGTCAGGGGCAGTGGCATGGCCTAGGGCGTGGTCGTACAGTGAGATATCTTCCTTGGCAGTGAGCTGTAAGAACAGGTGCAGGTCATCTAGCCAGGTTTCGAACTTCACCGGACGGCCCTCGGCATCGAAAGCTAGAACGGGAGGGCTAGCCATAGCGACAGTAGCAGTAGGAATCAGGCCGCTGGAACAGTGTGCGGAGAGTCAACGGGGCCGGCTGGGCCACTAGGTAAGGCGCGGGCGGGGTCGACTGTCCGTAGTGGCACACTAGCGGCAGTAGTAGGTAGCTGGGCAGCAGGAGCTGCAACGGTGCACTGGTGGCTGTTGCAGTGGCAGCAGTGTGCACGGTAGGTAGAAAATAATAGCAGTGAGAGCGTGGGCCTCGCGGGCGGCGGCTGCAGAAGCGCACGAGTGGCAGCGGCGGTGCACGAGTAGCGGTGGCGCACGGGCAGCAGCAGCGTAGGGGCAGCAACGGCGCTCGGGAGGGAGCGGTGCGCAAGCAGCAGCGGAAGAAGCGGCGTACAAGCGGCTGCGGGCAGCAGGGCGTGCGCGAGTGGGCGACGGCGGCTGCGGGCGGGCGGCCACTGAGACGGCGGGCTACGGGCGGCTGCGGGGCGTGTGCGAGCAGGCGACGGGCGGCTGCGGGGCGCGCGCGAGCAGGCGACGGGCGGCTGCGGGGCGTGCGCGAGCAGGCGACGGGCGGCTGCGGGGCGTGCGCGAGCAGGCGACGGGCGGCTGCGGGGCGTGCGCGAGCAGGCGACGAGCGGCTGCGGGGCGTGCGCTAGCAGGCGACGGGCGGCTGCGGGGCGTGCGCGAGCGGGCGACGAGCAGCTGCGGGGCGTGCGCGAGCAGGCGACCGGCGGCTGCGAAGCGTGCGCTAGCGGGCGACGGGCGGCTGCGAGCGAGCGGCTACTGCGACGGCGGGCTGCGGGCCTGCGGGGCGTGCGCTAGCGGGCGACGGGCGGCTGCGGGCGTGCGCGAGGGAATGCGACCGCACTCGAGCGGCTAAGGGCCGGCGCGACGGGGCCGCGAGGGGCCTCTAGGGCAAAAAACGACGGGGCCGCGGGGCCTCTAGGCGGGGCTCGATCGACGGGGCCAGCGGGGCCGAAAAAAAAAAAAGATTAATAATAAAGCGCTCGAGGGCGCTACGTGGGAGGCGCTAAGAAGGCACTCCGGTAGTAGGTAGGTAGGTAGGTAGGTAGGTGGGCCCTTAGGACGGTCCTAGCGAAGGACCTGCTCTGAAACCATGTCGGAGTTAACAGACAGGAATGACTGAACTAACAAGGAAGGCAATACAAATAGTAAACCCTAGAGATCTGTACCCCATATGGTCTAACCCACTGTAGCCTAACAACAACCAACACATATAATGTTTGACAGAATGACTCGTCAAAGGTGACGTCCTAAGACGCAAAGGCATGGCGCGAGGTGGGGTCGTAGAACTGCCAGCCAGGCGCGTCAGGAGGAAAACCAAGGAAAACACGGGGAGGGAGAGCTTGTCCGCGGTGGTATCGCGGACAAAGGCACGAGCACCCCAGACCCGAAAGCGCGACGCATCGCCAACCTCCCCCGTCCACAACAGTGTGGGCGAGGTCTCCGGCAAGGAGACACGGGGCCAGAGGTTGAGCTGATGCGCGGCGTAGCGGACCGCAAATGGCCACAGAAAATGGGGGGCAGCCGCATGGATCATGGAGGTACGAGCGACCTCCATGACTAAGCCAATGCGGCGCTCAGCAACCCCATTCTGCTGCGGAGAGGCCGGAAGCGTGAACGTCTGGCGGATGCCGTGCTCCGCACAGAAGGCTCGCAAGAGGTCAGAGGAGAACTCACCACCTCTGTCAGAGTGCAGACGCAGGACAGGAAAGTCCGTCTAAAACCGCTCGCGAAGCTGGAGACGAGCAGCGCGGATCCAGGGGATCAAAACCTCAGGGACCTGCCCCTTGTTGCGCAAGGGGAAGACCGTGGTGTAGCGCGAGTAGTCGTCGACGACCAGCAGGAAGTAGCGCTCGCGGCCCTGACCCTGGACGCGGGCTGGGCCCCACACGTCCAGGTGGAGCGTCTGCAGCGGAGCCTCTGTGGGAGGGAACGAGGAGGAGTGAGGAGCGGCGCGCTGCCGCCCCTCGACGCAAGGAATGCAGGGCGGCGCAGGCGAGGGAGGGAGTGCAGGCAGGGACCTAGGAAGACCAGAAACCAGAGAGCGAGAGTGCATGCCACGAAGGCAAGGCAGGGAGGGGTGACCAAGGCGGTGGTGCCACAGGAGAGTGTCGTGGGACAGGCGGCGGCACTCACACTGGGTGGCTACCTGAGCAGACGCGTACAGCTGTGGAGACAAAGGAGTGTAGCGTGAAACAGTGGTGAGAGTGTAAAGACTGGACCCCGGCTCACGGGTGAACGTGGCCAGGTGGCGGCCAGTCTTGGAGCAGGTACAGATCGCCACACGCTGTCCTCCAGGAGTCCAGGTGTCAACCCAGTGATCCTAAAGGACGGTGTTGCTCACCAAGTTCGTAGAGAACGAGGGAACATGGAGACCTGACAGCTCACCAGACGGGACCGCCGGGCACGGAAGCACAGTCGTGGCACGTGCAAGCACTGGGCCCCCAGAGGGGTCAGCCAGCGAGACAGGAACAGGTGCAGGGAGGGGGGTGACTGCGGTGCTGTCGCGAAAGAAACAGCGAGAAGCACCAGAGTCAAGTGTAAACGTGTGCAAAGCCTGTGCGGACGCAGTACCAGAGGGGTCAGACGCACGAGCACCTAGGGCTGCAGTCTCTATACCTGGGTCAGGCGGAACGCACAAGTAGCAGTCACCCTCAGCACTAACAGTCAATGCATACATGGCAGCAAGGATTGCATCATAGTCAAGATCATAGACATTGACATCACGCCTAAGCAGATCAGCCCAGTTGGGGAACTCAGTGGCATCAGGGAACTTGGCGCGCCAGGCGTCGCTGAGGCGCGCAAAGCAACGGGACTCAGGGTGAAAGTCGTTGCACGTGCGGCCCTTGCGAGGGCCAGTGAGAATGACATAGGGGCAGCGACCAGAACCCCCAGACGCCCCACGCCCAGCATACCAGTCATGAAGCTGCTGAGAAGAGGGGGTCTGGCGCTGCTGCTGCTGCTGGCCGGTCCCACTCCCGCCTCCACCACCACCCCCACCACCACCGCCTCCTCCTCCCTTGCCGCCACTGCCACCTCCACCACCCCCACCACCACCTCCAACCCCCCCACCACCCCCACCGCCCCCACCACCGCTCCCTCCACCCCCACCCCCGCCACCTCTGCCCCCCTTGCCGCCCCGGCCCCCGCCGCGCTTCCCACTAGGAGCGGAAGCAGCTGCGACCTTCTCAGCACCAGGAAGGTCAGCGGGAGTAGCAACTGAGGCGAACGAGGGGGTGAGGGGGGAGGGGGAGCACCCCGCAAAGAGGGGAGTGCGGGGAGAGCCTTGAGCGGCACCGACAGCTAAGAGATTCTTCTCTGCTGCGAGAAGCTGCCGCTCGAAGTCGTCTAGGGTGATCTCGGGGGCGTCCATGGCGAGGAAATGGTCCCTGACTGTGCTAAGGGTGTCAGGGAGGCGGGTGACGAGGAGGTAGAGGGTAAAGTAGAGCGGAGGGGGGTTCTTGGCACGGAACTCGTCAGTAAGAGCGGCGTTAAAGCGGGCCTCACTATCGCGAAGGTGAGTAATCAAGTCCGCAGCAGTGGGGAAGGAGGACAGGTCAGGGAACAGGTAGGGCAGGATGAGGCCTCCTACAGCGGCAGTGGCTGGGGAGGAGTAGCGTGCAACTACCGCGTCATAAAGTGCCTTGGCAGTTTTGTGCTGACTGAAATGCGCGCGCTCAGCGATCGGCAGATGGTTGCGGATAGCAAGACGCGCAGCAGCATCGCGAGTCAGCCACTGTGAGCGGTCTACAGCAGGAGCACTGTTAGCAGGAGCAGCGGTAGTGCCAGTAACGTAGTCGAAAAGCGAGACACCGTCTTTGGCATCAGTCAGAAGGAAAAGCTGTAGATCGTCAAGCCAAGTGGGAAATGCGATCGGGCGACCGTCAGGTTCGAAAGCTAGCACATTCATGGTCGCCATGGCAGCAGCGCAAGGCAGGCAGGGGTAAAGCAGGATGCAGGGGCAGGCAGGGGGCCGGGCGCAGGCTTAGGGGCAGCGCGACGGGCAGGCAGGGGCCGGGCGCGGGCTTAGGGGCAGCGCGACGGTAGGCAGGGGGCCGGGCGCGGGCGTAGGGGCAACGCGACGGGCAGGCAGGGGCCGGGCGCGGGCTTAGGGGCAGCGCGACGGTAGGCAGGGGGCCGGGCGCAGGCGTAGGGGCAATGCGACGGGCAGGCAGGGGCCGGGCGCGGGCTTAGGGGCAGCGTGACGGTAGGCAGGGGGCCGGGCGCGGGCGTGGGGGCAGCGCGACGGGCAGGCAGGGGCCGGGCGCGGGCTTAGGGGCAGCGCGACGGTAGGCAGGGGGCCGGGCGCGGGCTTAGGGGCAGTGCGACAGTAGGCAGGGGGCCGGGCGCAGGCGTAGGGGCAGCGCGGCGGGCAGGCAGGGGCCGGGCGCGGGCTTAGGGGCAGCGCGACGGTAGGCAGGGGGCCGGGCGCGGGCGTAGGGGCAGCGCTACGGGCAGGCAGGGGCCGGGCGCGGGCTTAGGGGCAGCGCGACGGGCAGGGAAGGGGCCGGGCGCGGGATTAGGGGCAGTGCGACGGGCAGGTTAGGCAGGGCGCATGTGGGGAAGCGCGGTAACCGCAGTCAGGCAGACGTTCGGTGGGCCCAGGAAAAAAATCGGTCCTAATTGACCTACTGCTCTGAAACCATGTGAAAACTATGAGGCAAGAATGATTGGATTGAAAGAAGCAAGGGTACAAATAGGAAACCCTAGTTGGGGTTGTACCCCATATTGGCTACTCCACTACAGCCTACAAACATATAGCATATTTATACTTTGACAGATTTGCCCTGACTCAGCAAATTCGCCTTTGAGATAACAAAATTGCCCCAACAGAGCAGATATTTGCCCCGTCAGAGCACAAAAATTTCGTCCAATCAGAAGAAATTCGCTCTGACACAGCATGTTCAACTAGAAATTCGCCCCATCGAAGGAAATTCGCTCGGATTCACCATGTCGCGCACACTGTTGTCGCCGACAGAATGTACTGTATCTTCGTTTGTGAAGCTGTGTAGGCACGCCGTGTGCACTGTTGGTAGCACGTCGCGTGCCCTTTTATCTATGCCACACTTTGAATGGCGGTGTTGCGTAATAGGAAAGCTTGAAGTTTTGTCCAACCCCTCTTTTTAAGCAAGGTTGAATGATCAGCCATTTTTCTAAACTAATCACTGAAATTTTAGCCTTTTTTTCAAGGCTACCCCGATTGATCAGCCTTCAGCTCACTCCTAAGGCTAACGATTCAGCCTAGGCCAAAATGAATCTGAGGCCCTGATTACCAGTAAACCTTCCGCTGCTACACTACGTGCGATCAACCTGAGACCATCCGATAGTCATTTCAGATTGTAACATGGCATGAGAGCACGTCATGATTCTTCGCCACCTCTGATTCAAATTCGAATCCAAGGTGGCGTCCGGTATGCGCTCCCGCCAAAAAACGGCTGGAAGATTTGGTGGGCAGGCGGCTCCGACTGCTGAAGCCATGCTCACAGCCCAGAACAATTTTCTGGCCAAGATTCGCACAAGCACCGTCTTCAACGGGAGAGAATTTTACACGTGGAGCTTCGAGTTCGAATTACTCCTTCAGAGTGAACAAGTTTACTGCTACTTCGACGGAAGCTACGCCGGTCCCGATAGCGAGACTGACGAAGCAAAAGCTCAATACTACAACAAGTCACTCATGGCGTACAACATTTTACTTCGCAACATGGCGCCAGCCGAACAACTTGACATTCATCACTTCAAAACTCATCCAGCCCCCGCCATGGCAGCCTGGAGCTACCTCACTAAGACTTACCAGCTCAAAGACTCCGTATCGTCAAGTCGCCTCCTCCAGCAACTCATGGAAGTTAAAAGGTGCCCGACGAAAAGGCAAATGCCTACATCATCCGCTACCGCAGCGTCCACAACCAGAACCTGAAGCTCGGAAACTCCATCCCCGAAGATATGTTTATCACAATCGTGCTTCGGGGCCTGGGACCTCAATGGACCCCCTGCAAAGCCTTGCTCCGCCAACAAGGCATAATCTCAGAAGCGCATCCCTGCGCCACCTTGCTGCACGAGCAGCAAGACATTGACTTCAACCAGGAAAAGGGCGCATGCCGCGAGCAAATCGCCTTCTACTCCCACCGCGACCAGCGACGGCCCCGCGACTCGCGCCCACGTCAATATTACTGCAAAAACTGCAAGACCTTTGGACATTCTACGGAACGCTGCCGCTCAGGACTACGATATGACCTCGAGCCTTGCAACAACATAAGCTATGGCCCCAACCAGCCGCGCCAGACAAACCGACCGTCTTTGGACCATCGGCATGCTCGGCGCCAACCATCTCAATCCGACTCACAAAGGCCGCTGTACAACAACAACAGCAACAACAACAAGGTTCGTCACGTCATCGGCAACATGGTGATGCGTGTTCACCGCCACACTCGGTGCACCAATTGAAGACATCTCCGCTACGTATCTCCTCCCCCCCCTGGACAAGACGTTGAGTTTACCAGCTACGATATTCCCTTAACGCAAGATGGGGAATTCGTCTCCGACGAACACGAACAAGACTGGGACCTGCCGATACCTCTGCTCCAGTAGCCACTGCACGACGAAGATTTCATCAATTTGCCGTCTATCACCAACTGCTATTTTGGAAATTACATCGACACTCGGCCTGTCGACAACTACCAGTTCACTGGTGAGAAACGCATCCTTTTTCGAAACACCCCGAACCTTGCACTTTCGGCGCAAAACAGACCCGACACTTACAACACATTGTATCACGATAGCTGCTGCGGACAACACACGGTGGGGTCCAAACGCTTCATCTCAAACGCGCGAAACATACTGCAACCCGCCGTCATTACAGTGGCCCGAAGCCCGATCGTGTGGCATTGTCGCCCTCAAAGCACACGACAGCAACATTCACATCACACTCAACAAGTTCTCATCATGCAGGATCTTAAGTACAACCTGCTCTCCTACGAGCAGCTCGTCAACAGCAGCGTCCTTATGGCCACAGTTCCAGAAAGCCGGTGCATCCAGATGCACTGGAAAGACTATAGCCACCCTGGCCACGAACCGTGCTATATCGACAAGGCGCGCCCAGGCAACGGCGTCTACGTCTTGGATTTCGACATCCCAGGGGAAAGCGCTGGCAGACGAGAAGGGCAAGGCACAAGCTGAAGGGGAGAAGCGGAGAGCAATGGATGAAGAGAAGGGAAAGGCGAAAGTTGATGAGGAAGCAGCGGCAACCGAGGAAGAATCACCTGTTCCTCTAGAAAACGTTGAAGAAGCAGAATGGCAGACCCCCCACCCCACAGGCATGAGAGATGCTGAATTTTTTGCTGCTCTCACCATTTTCCAACAATGAAAGACTCAGAATGACCCCACTGTACATGATCGCTTTCACCTCCTCACACGCTACACGTGGCCTGGTGCCTTTGACTCAAACAACAATCCTTTACCCTTGGCCTGGGAAACATATCATGCTACCCGCCCCTGGTTTCGCCGCAACATGACCTCTGAAGAACTTCAATGGCCGGAAGAAGAAGAGAACCGCCGCCGCGCAGACGCAGAAGCAGCAACAGCAGCCACCGCCACCCTTGGTTGGGGCACATGACCTGGAGCAGTGGCATGGGGAAAGACTGCATCAGCTACTACCAACACCAGCAGGGGAGCAGGAAACAGCACAGCGGCAGGACCATGGGGGACCACTCAAGCAGAGGAGGAAGAACCAATTGAGACTACATCGCTTGCAAAGAGAAGGAAGTAGCTGGCCCATACGGTCCACCACAGTCCATCAGCATCCTCCCCCCTCCAGGACCCTCCTCCTCCAGCAATTCCTCAGGCAACTCCACCCCTCACATTGATAGAGATACCATTCTTCCATACAGTCGCTACCCTCACAGCCCACTGCCCTCTGAATCCACCCCCATCAGCCCACATGACCCAAACATTGCTGGTCCCTCCACCATACATGACCCTCCTCCTCATCACGTCTCTCGTCAAATTCTCACTGAAGAAACAGCAGACACAGACGACAACTCCACTTTTAGTTGTCACCACCATCACCCCAGCACCACAACCCACTACTCGAGAACTAATTCTTGCCCTCGGCCTCTCCATTTCCCCACATCCACTCCCACAGCCCGCACCAACCAACACCGCCGAACTACTCGCCTTCTTTGCACGCTCACCCACATTTTGCGCACGGCCTAACCTCTGGCACAAGTGCCTTGGTCACCCCTCTCAGGAAGTCCTCAACAACGGCATCCGCGCCAAAGTCTTCCTCCTTGGCACACTGCTCCGCCCAGATGGTTCCCCTGTCACCATTGACAACCACCGCCACACCGACTACACAGTCTGTCCTGAAGCCGTGCTGAACGACAAGGCCTTCAAGATTCTCGATCCAAGCACGAACCGTTACGCCAAGCTCCAAAAAGTATACTGTGACTTTCTTGTTCTCACACAGATGGGCATCAACGGCGAAGAATGCACCCTTACCTTCATTGGCGCTTACTCTCACTTTGTCTGGGTGGCCAATGTCTCCCGCAAGGCGTATGACATCTTCAAAGTCTGGCATGGCAACGCCGAGACCCAATGTACCGCAAACTCAAGCTTTGGCAAATTGATTGCGCAGCCGAATTCACGAGTGACAAGCTTGCGGCATACATTCAGGGGAAAGGGATTATTCACAAGCTCTCTCTCCCATACGCGCACCCACAACAAGGCATCACTGAACGTACCAACTGCACCCTAATGACCTTGATTCGCACCCCCTTGCAGCAGAGCAACGTTGACACAAAGTATTGGCCCTACGCCATGCATCGCGCTGTACGTCTTCACAATATGCTCAACACCACCACCAGCACCGGAAACCTGTCACTTCACGTCAAATTTACCGGCGACAAGGGGGACATCTCCATGCTCCGTGTCCAGGGATGTATAGTGTAATATCGGCCCGCAACAGCAAACGCTGGGAAGTTCGAGCGTCGTGCACGTTGGGAAGTACATCTCGGCATCAGCTTCGAGCATCACGCCTGGAACATCCTCGACCATGATACCTTCCGGATGGTCCCGGCGCGCGTTGTCATTTTCTTGGAAGACCTCACCATCCGCAAGTTTCAGTGTGACTGCCACGCTGACTGCACAAGAGGACAAACCAACATCGCGAACTATGATCGCCCACCCCGCAGCTTCGCAACTCCCGCCGATGAAGCAGAAGTGGCGCTCGCAGACCAGGACCCCCCGGATCCTCATCTCGGCCCTCCTCCATGGAGCGACAAAGATGAAGACGAGGACAGCGCTCCGCTTGATTCCTCACGCAACTCCCTTCTTAGCCTAGCCCCATCCAACGGACATTAGTCCGATGACGATATGGTGGAAGACACCAGCGGGCAGCAGCACAGCCCCGACCTATCAGGCCTGCACATCCTCGGACTTCACACCGCTGTCTCTCACCCGCCGAAGGTGGTTGAACCTAAAAACCCGCGTCCGGCACTTACCGGCCCCTACAACAATGAATGGCGTGCGACCATGGACACGAAAGTTGGTGCACTTAAAGCTCGAGAAATCAGGGTTCTCGCTGGCCGTGCCGCGCTGAAGGGGAGACGTGTTCTCTCGGGAAAATGGGTATTACGAGTCAAAACTGCCACCGACGGGACCATCGAACGCTTGAAAGCCCGTTGGTAGTCCGTGGCTTTGACCAACGTCACGGCGTCGACTTCAATCAAACATTCGCCCCCGTCAGCCGTCACACCTCCGTTCGCATTCTCCTCGCCATCGGCGCCGCGAAGCATCTCCCACCCCGTTAGATCGACGTCAATAATGTGTTCCTATACGCTCCAGTCGATGCCCTCATCTTCATCGAACAATCGCATACCTATGGTGACGGCGACGATCGCGTGTGCCAGCTCAAGAAACTGATCTACGGCATCAAGCAGGCGCTGCGCGTTTGGCAGCAGCACCTCCACCAAATCCTCCTGAACATCAGCTTCACACAGCTACCCCACAACCCTAGCATGTCTCGCCTACACTACTGCGGCGATTACATTCTCCTCACGGCTCACATGGATGGCCTTCTCTATACAGGCACCAAGAACGAGGTTCTAGCTGAATTTGAGAAAAATCTTAGAAATCGCGTCGAAATCACCAGCACTGACCATGTCACGCAGTTCCTTGGCCCCAACATCTCCTATGCCGCTGACGCCATCCACCTCTCTACCGCCAAGAATGCTGAAACGCTCTCTGCAAAATTGAACATCAAACCAGCCAACATTTCCACCCCTTATCACACCCCGACAACTCTTCACCTTCCCAACACCACTCCGCTCAACCCATTCGGACACCAAGTGTACCAGCAAAAACTCGGCAGCCTTCTCTTTGCTGCAGTCATGTGCCAGCCTGACTTGTCCTACATCTCGAGCCAGTTCGCTCAGTATATGTTGGACTTGCAGCGCGCTCTTTAGTACTTCATCTCCACACCGCACATTGGACTCACCTTCTCCACTCTCATTCAGCCTCGTTGGATACGTGGACGCAGATCACGCCGCCGATCCTGCAAATCGACGGTCCCGAACCGGCTTTCTCTTCCGCCTCGAGCCCACCGGACCAATTTCCTGGATTTTTCAAAAGCAGGAAATGATGGCACTCTCCTCCGCTGAAGGACCAAACCGTGGCAGATTCCTTGTTGGGAAGTAGGAACGACCAAACTCGTCTGGTGAAGTCGCCAATGAGGCTGAGAGCATACACCACTCCTCCCAGCGACGATGAGAGCACTGGCCCCCACAAATCCGTGTGGACCTCATGGCCCAAGTGCCCAAGACGCCTCATGGGAAAACGACGTTCGAGCCAACTTTCCCAATAAGCAAGGTCACATAGAGAGCAATCAGTGTTCCCACCTTCCCCCAATATCCAAGCCCAGTATACTGTTCCCTCAAGCCATGTGTTGCAGTGTGGTTGGGGCGGTGTGACCAAGGCGGCGGTGGGCAAGGGCCAAAGGGAAAAATAAGGAGGAGGTTCCAATCCATGGTTCCTTCCCCCCTCCTTTTCTCAAGTTGCCAACACCCTCTCTTAGTGCAAGAGCACTGCCTTGTGTCCCTCGAGCATGGGGAATAGCCGCACCAATCCATGGTTCCTTCCCCCCTTCTTTTCTCCAGTTGCCAACACCCTCTCTCCCTGTTTAATAACACATTTTTTGCCCTCGAATAAGATTGTCACGCCTCGAGAGGTTAGGTGTGGGAATGGCAGCAGATGCGTGTGCATCTCAGGCACATGATGGACCTTTTGAATCCTCTGCATTTGACCTTCGGCAC